GCTGGCTATTGTACCCGCCCATTGCCTGCTGTCAATCAGCAGAGAGGACCTGATGGAGAACTTTGTCTTCAGTTCACTCCTTTGCTGATTGACAGCAGGCAGTGGGCGGGGGCAATAGCCAGCCTGCTATTGCAATTTAAAATATCCAATAGTAGGCTGGCTATTGTACCCGCCCATTGCCTGCTGTCAATCAGCAGAGAGGACCTGATGGAGAACTTTGTCTTCAGTTCACTCCTTTGCTGATTGACAGCAGGCAGTGGGCGGGTGCAATAGCCAGCCTGCTATTGCAATTTAAAATATCCAATAGTAGGCTGGCTATTGCTCCCAGCCACTGCCTGCTGTATTTACATTCAGTGAATCCAGTGAAGTGGAAAGGTGACACTAGAGGTCTAAAAGACCCCTAATGTCACCTTAAAGAGAACCTGTCACCTGCAATGCACGCAGCCCTGGTGAGAAACTGCCCTAAAATCATTAGTCTGTATTGTTTTAGAAAAAAAAGTGTCACATGTCCCTTTAAGAAAAAGTATCGGTAATTGGTATCGGCAAGTACATGAGGGACAGTACTTGGTCTTGAAAAAGTGGCATCGGGACATCCCTAGTACAGATCATATCTGAGAGGGTATCAAAAAGTAAAGCTTTTTGAGTTATAGAATGTTCATTTATGCAGAGATAGAAACAGTGAAAACACATACAGTTGAACTATAAATTCTTCTACTCAGTTACTCAGTTAGCGTGGAGCGATGAGAGCAAGGGGCGTGGAAGCGGTGACAGAGCCGGACGGTGGACCTGTGACAGGCTCTGTCACCTCCCTCAGCCTCTGTCTCCGGCCGCTGCTCGTTTCTGTCACAGGAGTTCTAGCATAGTGCTGTGCTAAAACTCCTGTGTTGGAGGTGACAGGGTCAATAAAGAGTACAGGTCACCTCCGAATGCTATCACACAGGGCTTGTTAGCGCCTGTGTGATAGCAATAAAGTTTAAGTGAAAAAAAGGAAAAAATAATAACTAAATAAAAATGTAAAAAATAAAAAGGCGATAAAGTAAAAATAATAAAATAAATGAAAATTTTAAATTTTTACAAAGTAAAATACAAAATTTGAAAAATGGAAACCAGCCCCGTTGCCCCCATCATCTGCATGCAAATAAATGTGCAGTGTTTTCAACCGCGATCATGTGCAACCGCACAGGCAGGGTGGTATTGCAGCGGGAAACCAGGCAATCTGCCTGGCACAACTGGGGTGCCATTAGAAAATAATGGCACTGCCAGCGCCATCGGCGGTGTTGTGCGATCCGTGACTGCCCGGTCATCGTGCACGAATCTGAGCGGATGGCTGGGCGGTCACTCCAGGCAGATCGCACGGTTCTCCGCCGCAATACCGCCCGGCAGTCCCACGCAATCGCGGTTGAAAACACTGCACCGTGCGTGTCGCGAAAAAAAGGTACATGTACCTTTTTTCAGCGATTGCCATGCATGCAGATGTAACCCCATACATGCGGACGCAACCGCACATGATCGCGCGTCCCGGGATTGCCCAAGTCTGCACCAACTCTAAAAGGGTAAATTCACTTTCCCAAGTAATTTGGGAAAATGGAATTACCCGCACAAATCTCCCTCCCGCTATACTTACCTTTCGGCGAACGGTCCTTCCCGTCCACCAGTACGGGTGTACTATCTTTACCTGTTCCGTATATTTGAATTTCGCTCGCAAATTGCAAGCACTCGTTGGTCAATGCGGTCACCTGACGATGCTGACTAATGAGAAGCGCTTCTTAGCACTGCTAAATACGGTTTTGGTTAAAATTATTTTTTTGTATCAGGACAAGTAGATTGTCATGAGGGACAAGTAGATTCGGCCCCCGCTTTAGTCCTTGGACAAGTAGTTTTTTCTAAAATTTCCACACCCCCGAGATGTAATCCTCCATTGGCCCAAACAGGTAGAAGGTGTCAAATCTGGGCTGTAGGATGGATGAGTAATCACCAACCACCTGACTGGTGGCATAAGAGATGCGTGGGTATGCCTATGGCAAGGAGGTGTTTCTGTAGTCTGTTCTTCCTAATGTTGACTGGTTAACCTGTAACCAAAGTCCATGAGAATAATGCCTTGGTCATCAAAGAACACAGTCGCCACAATCTGGCAGATTTGGATTTCTTTGGCCAAGGAGAGCTTGAATGGTACCATTCTATGCCATGTCAACATTTTCAGTTTCTCCCTTTTTACCCAATTTCTTTCTGTATGTCAACATCTCTTCCATGATTCACGTGGTACAATTTAAAGGACAGTAACACCCAATGATTGGCGCTAGACCATACGTATGACATATCAGGCATTTTATTTTCAGTTCACATGAACAGCAGATATAAAAAGTAAAGATTCACGTCTCTATGAAAGCAAAAATATGCCATTGTGCATCTATTTTTTAGAACTCAGAACTACCTGCAGTGAGGTACAGAGCAGGAGAGGAAGCTACACAGCCATGGTGCATGCTTGAACTCTGACTCTCAAGGTCAGTTAAAGCCATGTTTTTCTTTTTTTTAAACAGGTTTTGCTATTTTTCTAAATCGCCTGTGGAATTGTGTTAGAGGTACATAATAGTTATAAACACTGCTTCCTGGATTTTTTCTTTAACATTTTTCAACCAGGATATGAAAAAAGAGGCAGTTCTTGTTTTAGAAACAAGTACATATTTAAACCAAACTGGTGGCCATTGTTGTAATAGTGCAGCCACACCCTTCGGGTATTACCAGCACTGTCAATAACACATAAAAGAATAAGACGACCAACTGTTTTACCCTATTCCAAAACCCTAGACAGTGTATCAGTTATCATCCCCAGGCTCAGGCAACAGGTCATGCTTCCATGGGCACCTTACAGCCTAGCATTATGATTTGACATGGAGCTATTACAACTAAGTTAAATGCATACCCCTATCTCTAAGAGCTAAGGCTGCACTAATATAACAATTTAAGTACAAAGATTCAAATTCTTAGAAATGCCCATTCCTAACTGATGCTCTTTAAATCTGAAACCCTAGGTCAGCTCATCGGACAGAGATGAGAATGCCCATTTACTGACCAAAGAGTTAGATGGAGGCAGAGAGGTAATAGAAGAAGGTGCATTGATGAATCGGAAAATTATATGCTTAAATCAGGAGTTGTATACATCGTTGGTAACACAATTGGCCATACAGAATTAAATATCCTTTGGCAAGTAAAACAGTAAACACACGTGTATGTCAGCTCTGTATTTAGCATTTTACCTAAAGTTTAATCATAAAAACTTTTACTGCCATGGCACAGCTTTATTGCAGTCGTTCCAAGCAGAGTGATATAAGCCCACAGGTATTTAATATTGAACCCTGTCCACAGATGAGGCTCTGTGATCCACAAAAATAGCTGGCAAATACATGGGAACTATTCCAACTCCTCCCCATGGCAATGCTAGGTATAAGCTGCACTGGCAGACAGCTCACTGGAGAAGTACTGGAATATCAGCTTTGACATATGATAATCGGCTTAATTTTTAGAGCAGGACACCATGAAAGAGGAAAATAATTTACTCAATTCTAAAGCACCAATCTGTGTTAAAACCTCTCACCACAAGAAAAAAGACATTTTAATACTGTACAAGTTTTTCACTTTTCCCTGTTGCATTAAAAAGAATAGTGATAAAACATATCTCATATTGGGATCTCTCCACACCCTTGCCCCAAGACATTTACTCCAATACCTGTCCAAGACTGTTTTGTACAGCATTTGTGCTTGTGCATGCATGTATTGTCACTTTGACATACATAGCAGAGTGGCCCCGTTACACTTAAAGCGGACCTTCAAACCCTATCTTTAAAATAACAATAAACACGCCTTTAGAAATGTTTAGTAATGAAAATCTACAACCGCATACTTCTAGATAATTGACGGCTTTGTATTCTTTACATACCTTATTTCTCTTTTCTTCCCCAGTCTTCTCACAGTGGCCATGTTTACTAAGAGCAGATTACTAGCTATCCCTTTACTTCTTGCATTTCTGGCACATGTGACAAGGACATGTGACCATGCACATCATCTCAGAGGAGGAAAATGCCTTTCCCTGAGATCTCATGACATTACAGATGAGATTTCCCAGCAATGCTCTGCTGATGACAAGGCAATCCAAGTGTGCATTGCTTTGCCAAACTGAAGTCATTTTGCAGGAAGTGAATGCTCTGCAAGTGTATTTCAACATCACAGCATTTTACACCTGACATGTCTATGTTATTATTAATCATCATACATAGAGGGATGCATTGGTAGAATTTGATTTTTGGGTGTAAAGGTCCGCTTTAACACATAATTTAATTTAGCTAAACAGACCCATGTTATGTCTATGGGCAGTCAGATGTAAGGAGACATGCGTCTATTTATATCCAATTACCTCCGATCCGTCATGTTTAGATCCCAAAAAATGAAGGAGGATGCAAACCTTTTTTTCCCCCAGAAATAAATGGACTCAGAGGTAATCCGATGTAAACGGACACATGCCTATTTGCACTTGGCTGCCCATAGGGTTGCATTGTTTTCTGATCAGTTCCACATGAAAAAAGGATAGGTGGATCTGATCAGACCGCCAGAATGAAAAGAAGCCTAAAACTACTATTAGAAAATTGGAATGGGTAAGATTTGATAGAAAGCAGAAAGGCAGCACTCACTGTAATGATTAGAAAGCATCTTCCAGTCCTGTTAATGAAACAACAACAACAAAAAGTACCCACAACATTGCTTGTTACCAATTCCTATATACATAGGGGGCAATTTCTGAAAACTGGAGCACACAGAATCTGGAGCAATTGCCCGTGGCAACCATCAGCTTCTCTCTTTTATTATCAAAGCTTAACTGAACAAATTGAAGAGAGTAGCTGATTGGTTGCCACGGACAACTGCTCCAGATATTGTCTGCACCAGTTTTGATATATTCTCTCATATACTGTATACGGTACAAGTAGGCAAAAGTTAGAATCAACAGATGGCACTTATGGAAGTACTAGTGGTTCTGCCTCTGTAGGCCAACAGAGATGCTCTGCAATAAACAAAAACACACACTTATAAAGTACAAACATGACTTGAGGCTCTAAATCAATAACACCCTATGCACCTCCATGATAGGAAAACAAAGTACTGAGAGTAGGAAAGCCAAGTCATATGACCTGGCAAAGTCCGGTGACTGGTTTGTTATCACAGAGTATTCTCTTTAACATTATGTAGGCCACTGCAGGCTCCTTAGTAGGCATGCATTTTAGAAATGAGGGCCCATTCACACCATATACATCGGTCTGTGCTGCCAAGCCTTGCCATTGCATAGACAAGGCAACGTACCTTATGTCCCATTAGTTCATGTTATACCTCTGTGCTCCAGTGGCCTGCACTGAAAAAAGTAGGGCATGCTGCATATTTTTACCAGAGCGGCATGTGATGCACAGTACATACAGATCAGGGGTGTCCAAACTCTGGCCCTCCAGCTGTTGTGGAATTAGAAATCCCATGCAGCATTGCAAGATTCTCCCAGCCACAGGCATGACTCCTGTAGACAGATGCATCATGGGATTTGTAGTTTCTACACAGCTGGAGGGCCAGAGTTTGCCAACCCCTGATACAGATAAATGACATGCCATTAAAGTTCAAAAGGGTAAACAGTGTGATGCATCATTACCACGCATTTCAGCGCTTCTTCACAGTGCACACACCAGCAGCAGTATTACAAACGCTGCTGTAGTGAATGTGTCCCGAGTCATAAAATGCAGGCACAACATGGAGTAAACACTGCAGTGTCCAGCAGAGCTTGCCATTATAAATGGGCCCCTTAAACACTTTCTGTGGCCCCTTTTGCAGCTAACCAATCAGTAAAATAATTTTGGTATCAAGTCCCTGAACATCCAGGCCATACGCGAGCAAATAAACACTGTGATCTATATGTGCACTCGTTTACAGAAAGCTTACAGGCCATGAATGCTTGTATTGTCACATGTATCGCTTACCTCTGACACCGCAGCAGTGGGAAGGACAGTGTGTGCTCCATTTTTGCTCAGACTCACTTGGCTTTCCTTAATACCATTCTCCATACCACGATTCTTCCCAGCTATGTTAGAAAACAAAGCGAATCCTAACAATAAAAAAAAGAAAAAAAAACTTCAAATGAAGGATTTTTTCCAGAAGCGCTTATTATTAACTTCTGCTATAAAGCAAGTCGTGTAAACAGTAGAACGTTTCTTCTAATGACTTTCAGTGCAGTGTTAAGGTGAAAATAAAAGGAGGGGGTGAGCAACATGCAGCCAGTAATGTTCCTGAACATTGGCAGCACTAGTCAACAACTTATTTTCAGCACTACTATATCATACATCCCAAGCAATGTTACAAGGTAACAATTACAACACAGCAGGATCTCTCCACCATTATTATTATTATATGTAACAGAATGCCATAAAGATTCAACAATCAATTTGTATTTAGGGTAAAACATCATAAAATGTAGCCAAATGTTTTCAAGGTAAAGTTTAAAAAGCTGGGGGAGCAAACTGGACCCTCAATTTCTGAACCTCAACTTCCACACAAAGTATGAGCCGATACAGGGAAAGCAGATGGTTGCTCGGAGAGAAGTGGGAGAGAGGTAGGAAACTATTTCTACCCCTTAGTGAGAATTACATGAAAATTCTAAATCATTCTTGTACTTGTAATTGGTATTTATAATATACATATCATGTGTGAACATTCCTAAAACATTCCCTAGTCTAGCCAAACCTGGAAAAAAAAAAAAAAAATTTTTTAAAGGCGTATTGGGAGAGTAAAATGTCAGTCACCGCTTCCCGCTGGGATTCCCCCCTCCCCTCTCTGTTCCTCCAGCGCTCATTGGAGGGACAGACAGGGGAGGGGGCAGGCACAGCTGGCTCTAGAGAGGCAGCTAAGAGGCCAAAAGTGATCTGCCGATCTCCCCCGTAGTGCGGGGAGGAGATCGGAAAATGGATGTTTGTTGGTCTCCTTGCCCGCTTTCCGTTGAGACCCGACATGCCAGTCCCAGGCCCGCAGGAGTGGCAGCGGAGCAAGGCGGGGGGCTGCACTTCACTGGCCTGTGGAAGTGATCTGGCTGCAGCTAAGCCGCCAGAATTGCTTCCAGTGTAAAGCCGACAGTCAGCTTTATACATGTAAACAGAGTCCCGGCGGCTCTTTTTTAAGGTACCTGCTGCCGCCGACGTATGAGATACATCCATGGCAGTGAAAGGGAATATTTATAACTAAAAAAAACAAACCATGTAATATTATATATATATATTTATTTTAAATTATTCTTTATTTATTTATTGTTCCTATTTAGACAGCATATCAAAAAGTAATTTTTTCCTCGATATTTTGCGAATGGTAACAAATAAAAAATAAGCGTTATCCCAATTTGGCTGCAAAGGTTAAGATACACTTTAACCCTTTCGCTGCCGTCACCTGTAAGGTTTCATGAAATACCAATTTGCTCTCATGACACAAGTCTTAACAGCCACAAAACAAACCATAGCAAAAGCATTGCTATCTAATAAGCTCACACTGGTTGAACTCAAAGCTAGACTTCTCTGGACCTTCTCAAATAAAATATGATGGCAAAGTCCACAGACACGATGACCAAATTCAAGATTTGGACCCCATGGGCCATCCACTTTCTGCTGCCAATTTGTGACCTAATCAATCTTTAAACTTTTCTGCCAACTTTAACCCATTGGCAAAGCTATAAAGAGCTCATCTTCCCCTACCCCTACTCCTCATACCCCCTAACCCAGGGCTCAAAATTTCCACTCGCCAGCTCGCATTTGGCGAGTGGAAATAAAGAGAGGGCGAGTGGAAATTCAGTCAGGCACGCGGTCACGGATCACGTACCTGACTATGAGAGCAGCCGCTTCTTGCCGTCCTGTCCTGGCTCCGTTACTTTCGATCGATCACCGGACTGCCCTAACCTATGTTCTTTTCTCTCCTTATCTCACTTTCACTTCAGCTGTTTGGTTCCTTGGCTCTGACAGAGCTATTTCCAACCAACTTCATAATATAATAGCACATGATGTGCTGGTTGCAGTGCTTGTATGAATATACTATGTATGCACATGAAACTCATATTTCTACATTGTGTTCTGTATACCCCCAAAATGAAAAACACAATAAAAAATATTGAACAGATAAAATAAGCTTCTGTGCTGATGCAGGTTGCCCAGGAATATGACACTGTTGTCAACATAAAAAAAAAAATTCAGTAGGGGTTTACGTCCACTTTATGAGACCAATGACTACAAGCTCTACACTAATCTCTATGCACTTTATCAGAAGCACTTACTATGCTTTCTCTATCACAGCTAAACACATTGTAATAGGGCTGCTGGGAACCCAACCTATTAAAGTTAAGGGGTGCTGACTTATCCAAACACCCCCTTATCGGCCCTTTTAAGCCTCCTGACCAAAGCCCAAAGGCAAGGAAGTGCATTAGTAGTAGTTGGTTGCCATGGTGGTGAAATCACACATTAGTTTGTGGGTCTGCAGGCTGGATTCGCCTCAGACCCAAACTCCATCCCTATCCAAACCTTAAAAAATGATTTGGCAATACATATACTTTAATTTCTGGTTTGAGCGGGTAAAACAAAAATCAAATCACCTGTCAGGTTTTATTTTTCCCTGTGGGTACATTTTTAATCAGAGGTTATTCCAAGATTATACAAGTGACAAATCTAAGTGTGTGCAAATATAAGGCAACTCATTTACAAACAAATGTTGTCCTCATTCTCTTGTTTATTGTCACGTTTTACAGTAAGGGGTCCATTCATAAATTGTTTCACCCAAGATTCACACATTTTTCTAATTGTATTCAATTGGCAAAGTGTGTGAATCCTGGGTGAAAGCCACACCCCTTCTCTCTTTCAATGATGGCAGAAGGACCCTATGGCTCCCCTGCCATCAGTATCCTCCCCCCGCAACCCGGAATTTCAGGAAATGGAGGATCGCTTCGGGACCGGCGGCGGGTGTGGGGGGGACTGGGGGAGAAAAAAGGTGCTAGGCCGTTTTTACCCTAATGCAGAGAATACATTAAGGTAAAATACGCCCAGACCTTAATACTACTTTAACCCTTGCAGTGGGGCGACCCCCGCACAGGGGTTAACTGCTAATTTTTGCTCAGAAAAAAAAAAGTTATACTCACCTGATCCTCGGAGCCGACTTGCTCTTAAACTGGCCATACACTTATAGATTATCTGCAGATTTTCTATAGTCAGATGGAAAAAGTGCAACAGATTCCTCCATCTACACTAAACTGTGTGGATGGAGGAATCTCCCACTGGGACAAGCTTCAGTATCTTGCTAGTCGGCCCCGCTGGCTCTCAAAATACCTGAACAATGCCTGCATCCAATCAGATTGCTCAGGTATTCTGAAAGCCAGAGGGACCGACTAGCAAGATACTGAAGCTTGGCCCAGGGGGAGATTCCTCCATCCACACAGTTTAGTGTAGATGGAGGAATCTGTGGCACTTTTTCCATCTGACCAGAGAAAACCTGCAGGTGAATGGCCAGCTTAAAAAGGAGAACTATGGGGTTAAGGCTTTTCCCCATCTGCTGCTCGCGGTATACTGAGATGCCGCAGCTGAAGCAGATCCCGACAATTCTGTCTGGATCCACCCAGCTGCGTGACTGACAGCTGGCTCTGTCTAACTAGAGGCAGAGCCAGCTGTACCCACCCCCTCCCCCGTCCGTTCCGCCAGTCAGCGCTGGAGGATCGGAGCGGGGAGGGGGGAATCCAGCCCCTCCCCTGTCACGGCAGAGAGCCGTGACAGGATCGAGAGGTGAGCGAACGCCGGTATGGGTTCGCTCACTTCCCGATCTACTGAGCCGACTGTGACAGTCTCATTGTCACAGGTCGGCTAGAACTATGAGGTGAGTGAAAAGCACTCACCTCATAGTTCTCCTTTAAGACTGGTCTCTAGAGCATCTCTCCCCCTCCACTGCAGCGGTCTAAAGCCCTGTAAGACATTTGTCCAATGCAGTGTATAGGAGGTGAGGACGCAGAGGGAACAGCTGCTGCAGCAGAGGAGAAGACAGGCAGGAGGGAGCGCTGCCGGCTCTGAGGATCAGGTAAGTATAACATTTTTATTTTTTTACCCTAGGCAGAAACGAGCAGTTAACCCTTGCAGCGCAGGGGTAGCCCCACTGCAAGGGTTAATAACATTTCTGGACGGAGTTCTTCTTTAATTTGCACAAAGGGCAACAGATGCAAAGTAAAGTGCATCAATTATGGGAAAGGAAAAAACAAAACCTAAATGATTGTGAAATGCATAATACTCATTTCAGGTGGGGCTACATATTTTCCCAAATAAAAATAGAAAAAGAAAAGTCATACAGGAACTAACACTGCAGGTAGGAAAAACCACATAGAATTAAGGTGAGTGTATTCACTGCACAATACACTTCAATCACATCACCGGGATTAGTAATCTTCATTGTAAAATTAGTGTTACACAATTGTATTCCAGTATTTCTCAACCTTGACAACTTGGACCATCACTGGTTTTATTAAACCTATGATCCTCTTTAGGAAACAGATTCTATCAACTAGGACAATTTCAGTTTTGATCTGAAGGCGTTTTAAAGTATATCTAAAGCCCCAACTTTTTTTAAAAGGAGAACCCTAGAGGCTAAAAGTACTTTTTAATTGTGATGATTTTGTTTGTTAACTTTTTTTTAATAATTATTTTACCCTGGCCCCACCCCCAGCGCCATTCTTGTCTAAGAATAATATGTGCTGCTCCTGTGGTCTCCTGGGATGTACTCATCACATATCCACGAGGCTGTAGAAGCAGCAGAAGTAGAGACACAGAGCAGCTGTAGGGGGGACCTGGCAACATGTTATCAAGAGCCGGCTGCAAGAACACTGAAGATCCAGAGGGCTCCTGATCATGAAAAGAAGACGACCGCAATGTGGGACCCAGGCACCAGCGCAGCAGGACAGCACTGGATTTGCTGGGCAGGTGAGTATGTTTTCTGAAGAAAACATTACAAAG